TGTACTTTTTTTTTTTCTATAGGCACGACGTACGAAAATATCTAGTCATGACTGTGCGAGACGTGCGAGTAACGACACAGTATACCGGCAAAGCAGCTTAGCCGACGGTTTCCGCGCCGGTTACCGCGATTTCCGCTCTACCGACTCGCCGCCGCGGCCGTCGCCGGGCCGTGGCGGCAAGCGCGCGCGGCGCGCGGCGAGGACCCTCGGCGTCTGGGTTTGAGGCCGCGATTGCGACCGACATGGTTCTCTGTGCGCTGTGAACCCCGGTGGATCCGCTCCTATCGATTGCGCGGTCGCACACGGCGTGCACGTTCCTACGACCGAGACACACGTCGTCCATCTCTACCCGTCTCCCCCGGCGGTCACCGCGGCGATCAACGCCGATCGGCGACGAGAGAGAAGCCTCCCGAGAGACCAGCGGCGACGAGGCCGACGAGTGAGTAAACCACCGCGGACGGCGCGACCGGGGACGGGGCTTTCGAACCCGTTGGCGCGTAAACTCGTCCCGTCGCTCTCGTTTGTCCCATCCCCGGTCCGACGATCTGTCGGATTTTCGGCGTCTCCTCCGCGTCTCGCGACGTCCCGCGGTGTCTTTTTTTCGCCCCCGCGACGCTCGCGAGCCGATCCCGCCGATTCCCGGACACCCGCGCGGCGGCGAACGCGAGGACGCGGGGCGCCGCGCCGCGCGTCTCTCGCCGCCGAGAACGAAAATACCCCGCCATGGCTGCGTTGTTGTGACCGCGTACTATTTGCCACGCACCGTCCTCCCGACGGGATCGCGCGACTCGCGCGTGAAAACCGCGCGCGCGCGCGCGCGACGCAGATACCTTCTCCGATATGTCTCGAGTGTCCCTTTGTTGAGAAAATTAGCGCGTTTGTATTGTTACGGAGACAAAGAACGATTCGCCCGTGGCCGCACAAAGAGCCGCACGTTACGAACACAATTACGTATTCTTGATTGTTCCTATCCGGTTCCGCTTGTCCGAGAGCTCGGCGACTTGTTACTCCATTTGGCGTGAAAGCAATAACTTTGGTCCGCGCGCGTCCTTTATTCGTTTGAATAAATGTAATTGCTACAAATGCGTGCATCAATTAATTTTAACGAGTATAAAAATTGTAATCAGTCAGATTGAAAGCACTCGTTGGCTGAACAATTTCCAAAGGTATACATTTAGAAATTGTTCCGCCTCGTTTGAAAGACGAAAGTTTATTCACGCGACTAATTGTCCTGTATTTTTAGCAGCAAGATGACACCGGAAGGATATACGCGCGTGTACGTGGGCGGGTTGAACGAGAGCATCAAAAAGGAAGATCTGCAGATGGAGTTTGAGAAGTACGGCAAGCTGAATAAGGTGTGGGTAGCGTTTAATCCGCCGGGCTTCGCTTTCATCGAGTTCTTCAACATGAACGAGGCCGAATTGGCCTGCTGCAACATGAACGGCATGGAGATAATGGGTGCGAAGTTGAGAGTGGAGATATCTCGGGGTAGGGGCCGCGGCGGCGGCAGGGGCGGTGGCGCGGGCGGTTTCAGAGGAAGTCGCGGGTCTGGCGGTAGGGACTTCGGTTCACGGGGCGGCACTACCGGGGGTTACAGAGGCAGTACTTACGGCGATTACGGAGGCAGCTATTATACAGGCAGGGGTGGCGCAAGTAGGGGCAGAGGTCGTTACGGAGAAGACTATATGTTCAATCGCAGCAGCGGGTATGTTACGCGAGATGGATATACGCAGGATGCCTACGGTGGTAGTAGCGGGGACACTGGCGCCGACTACTACACCGGGAAGGATACGAGCACAGCGAGGTATCGAAGCCGCTCTCCCGCCGGCCGTGGCAGGTATTGACGATACCCATCTAAAATTGATATTCAACTCGTGTCACGTTTAATTAGCTCAAGCTTGTTAGCTCAAAAACGTAAACAATTTATGGGAAAAGTATATACGATCAGAATTTGATTAGATTATCATTCTGATAGATTTCTATTGAGAGTACATCTCGTGATGTATTG